AGTTTTACAGGAGGAGGTTTCATAGACATGGCAAATTAATTTTTCAGAAGCTTGTAGGTACAGACATCCTTTGTGGGCATTCTTGGCAGTTTTTCTGAGGCTTTTTTAATAATCTTTATATCGAAATCAGAATTATATTGTATCGACCAAAATTAAGAAATATATTGTGATATCAATTTTGAAGATATCGTCCAGCCCTAGTGGCAGTACACACAAATTTTGATTACGGGGGAAACTATTGATTAATTAGTAGGCTACTTATTCCTTGTTATGTCCTTGTTTGACATCTGCATCACTTAAACAGCTCCATATGTATGGCTTTCCTGACAAAGTAAACTTGCTCGGTAGCTCACCTGGTACAGCATTGCACTTGTGATAAAGTGCACTAAAGTACGAGTCCTGTGAAACACGAGTCACAAAAAAAAGAGTTCAAAAACTTGCTGAGGCAAGCTAAAATGGCATGATTGCTTCAGCAAATGCATTTTAATCTCACTTTTGCTTTAGTTAAAACTATCGGTTAGGTTTAGGGCGTACACTGATTCACAATCAAATGACTGTTACACATTGATTCTTTTAATGAATCACTCAATAAAACTACAAACTCAGGAGTCACCAGTAGGAATCCTTCAATGAATGCGCTCACTAAATCCATCAGAGCGGTTACTGAATCAAAACACTCAATGAACTTCAAATCATTACTTTTATTGACGTCTCTAGTGTATTTAATGTTTGTGCAACATAAATCAGTCAAAAACAGTCGAAGTTTTTATAGGTCTGACTAATAATCAAGTATCAGATGAGAAAGGTATTAAAAATAGACACCTAAGCTCTGCAAAAGTAAAGTCTAGGCCCATGATACGGCAATCTGTCCAAAATGGAACCACCCTTATTCAGACTCACTGACTCATTCAAAGAGAAACAAGCCCCACCTATGAAGGCCACAGGACAAACAGCTAGATTAGAAAAGCTTAGATGCACATGACCTCAGTCTGGTTCTAAAGTATTTTACAACTGTTATCATCAGTGAGAATTCTGAATATTCTCACAGTATTGTTTTGCAAGCTGATTGAATGCGCTTCAGTGGTTGAAAAGCTTATCACAATAATTACAATTATTTAATTGTATTACTAGCATAGTAGCTAAAAAATAAATAAAATAAAATAAAATATTATTGGAGTATGTTTTACAAGAATGTACCATTTTAGATTTTGTACTTCATTCATTAAATGTTTTGGCTTTTTTTTTTTTTTTTTTTGCGCAATTCACCAATCACATGTTTCCAAATATCCAAACAGTAGGCTATATTGCATACAGTATCAAGTGCTGAGTGTCTCTTTCAGAAGCTCTGGTGTAGGCCTTTCATATCACAATAAAATCAGACTTATTGTTCTGAACACAATACATCCTCCACAGAGAAGCCACGCTGGAACGGTGGGCTGCAATCTTCACACTTGTCCTATTATATGGAAAATCCTAGTCTGCAGTACACTTGGTTTGCTGAAGTCAGTGCTTGAGTCATGCAGGGCAGAACGCTCAGAGACTAACAAGTGCCACTGAACTGGCTATGTTAAAAAATCAGGGCACCTAAACTCAACAGAAAACCAGCTAGGAGATGGAAATCTGTTGGAAACATCAAAACGTTTAGTATCAGAACACTTTCCTCTCTAAACTTGTGCATCCATTTCACATTTGTGCGCATAGCAATGGTGGTCCACCACCTGTTCAAGAGCGTTTTCTATTTGTGTCCTTCTCACTAAGCCAGGTGGCTTGCATTCATTAATGCACCCTTGTCAGAAGCTAACCTGTCCACGGAGGTTACAGCAGCATGCCGTCTTGCATTCCAAAAGAGGAACAGTTGCTGGACAAACATGCAAATTGGGCTCTGGGGTGTTTTAAACACAAACATTAAAACACCAGAGATTTTACTTTAATGCATTCATGGATAAAGCACTTTGCATTTCCATAACCCATAAATGCAAGTGTCCCAAAGTTTTGTCATAATTTACTCACTCTCATGTCATTCCAAATCCAAACTCTGAGGACTTCTTACATGGAACACAAAAGGAGAAGTTTAGCAGATTGTCCAAGCTGCTCATTTCTATACAACAACTTTGGAACAGCTGTAAAATTCCAAGTATAACTCCTTTCAGACATTTTGGCCATCGTACACTTTATAAGATTTGGAATATTTCTCATGAATCATATGGAGTACTTTCAGTGTTGGGCAGAAAAAGTGTATTTTTATTTCATACCATTCCTCATTACTTTGAAATCGATATACCGCCCCAAGAAAAACCGTATCTATCGTTACCGTAATTAACCGTAATTATCGTTGTCTAATTCATGAACAAGCTGATTATTTCATAATTTCGTTTTGCAAACTGTACTGAACGATTCATTTGCAAATGAGACTTGATCTGATTGCAGCTGTACTCAAGTCAACAACTCGCTGATTCAATGATCTGTGAGTCTTCATATCTGACTCAAAACAAGCTGAGAACTGATAGATTCACCTAGCTTGAATGTGCATACAACTGATGGTGCAGAAACCCGCCAAATTTATGTACCGATTATTGTAAATGAATATCTTATTTCGGTCATGACTGTCAGTCATTTGTGAACTAAATCTGCTGTAAATAGGAGAGCTGTTTAAATCCATTTTATGTCATTTAGATGTCACTAGCCGGGTTTCCATTACAGATTTGTGCAAAACTTTTGCGTTATTTTATAAATGTCGAAAAAAAAAAACTTTTGCGAATTGACGGCATTCCCATTAACCAATGTTATGCGACTAAAACTTTATTTTTTCCTCTCACAATAAGTCATCCAAACGGATGTTTGTATTTTAAGGAAAAACTATAAATAACGTTAAAATAGTGCAACTTAATATTATAACACTAGTGTTTTTGTATTTTGTTATTCACTTGCTTGCACACTTGAGTTATCAGTAATTTAAATATTTTAGTATATGAAGAGTTTATTTACAAAAACATAAAAAAAAAAAATTATTATGTTATCATGTTTATATTGTGTTTTGTGTTAGTTAGCTGTATTTGTAGTTATTTTTTAACCTAATCAAAATAACCCAACTGCAGTTTGATTGAGATTAATTGAAATGCACAATGAAAAAAACAACATGATTTTTGAAAATGGTTAAAAACGGAGTTATCTGTTTTTGCAAATGAACTCTTTATATTGAAATGTAATGTTTTGACAGTGAATGGCAAGGTATTGATGAGTGCTGACTAGAAAAATTATAAACATGGTACATCAACCTGTACTTTTAATACTTAAGTACATTAAAAATTAAGTACTTTCGGATTCAAGTACTCAAGTAAAATGAAAAGAAATACTTGTACATTTCCTGGAGTAATATATTAGGGTTTGGTTTTATTTGAGCTAGAGATGCACCGATTGCAATTTTCTTGGCCGATTCCGATTTCTCTTTAGTGTGATCTGCCTATACCGATTTTTGCCGATTCCGATTTTCTTTCTAAGAACTATAATTGACAGCATATACAAACAAAAATCTACTTTTCTCCAACACAAAGTTTTATTTTCATAAAAAAACACAAGTAAAAAGTAAAAAGAGCTATGAAACTACGTTTTTCAGGTTAAGTACGTTTTTACTCAGGTAAGAAATACTACAGAAATTAAAGTAATCAAATGTAAGATAACACATTCAGTGTTATTTTACATTTGATTACTTTAATTTCTGTAGTCTTCACTGTAAAAATTAAATACAAATTAATGCTTACCATTAAAGTTATAAAACGTATTCAAAAGTCAGTTTTTAAAATAAAAGATCAAATAAAATAAGAACAAATAAAAAATTGCAAACAACAACACAAATAAATGCAATAGAATAAAGAGAGCTATGAAACTAAGTTTTTCAGGTTAAGTAAGTTTTTATTCAGGTAAGAAATACTACAGAAATTAAAGTAATCAAATGTAAAATAACATATCCAGTGTGATTTTGACATAATTTTGTATGCATTTGAACGTTTTAGCGCAGTTAGCCACTCATTTTGGTATTTGTGGCTCACAAGCTGTTTGAGACCGAGCGCGGATTGTGCGCTCCACTAATATAGATCAGTGGTCGTGCGCGCGCATTTGGTATAAGCACGAATCCTGCGGGAATGACTATAATGCGCAATACAAGCACTATTTAACCGGAGCGAATGAGACGTGTGTGAGAGAGAAGTCGTCGTCGGAGAGAAGAGAGCGAGAATGCGCGGCTGACGTTATTTTCTGTGCTGCTGGTAACAAAACGGATCGGCTTGAAATCTGGAATAAAGCCACATGGTAGCCTGCAGGCCGTACTGTCAAGCCAGGACTTGAACGCTAGATTTAGTGATCGGTTTCCCATCTGAGTCATCATCGCTGCTGGAGTATCGGTGCGACTCAATGCGTGCTCGGGTCTGTAAAATCAGTTTCATATCTGAATAAATTCTTATAAAATGATATATTTCGGTTTCATTTCAGTTTTTTTTTTCCTGGTAAAAAAAAACTGTTGAGTGAGCATGTTGAGCAGATATGACGAGATACGATAAACTGTGATCTATTAAAACATGACTTTAGCTCAACTATTTTATCTCTCATGTTCCCAAATGCCACAATTCCGTTTTCTCTTCAAGCTTAAGAAAACTGAACGTGTTTCGTCAAGACGGTGAGAAATGTATCGTTCTGGAGACCAGACAACTCTCACATCCTCCTTTCTGAAGTTTGAGCCGATTCTGGTGGATATCAGCAAAACTTCATATGTGCAAGTTAAACAGTATCCAGACACACCCTCAGTGTAAACGACACTAATTCCGTAACGACCACACATCTCATCGACAAACCACTTCAAGAAGATCGAGCTTTTCAAAAGACCGCTCTTTATGAGCTCAAAATGATCAGTTCATCCCTGCTTTTCCATTTTACAACCATATTTCCCGTCCGATCCCCACAGCAGTGCTGGAGATCAGCGCGCGACACAGAAACACGCGGGCGCTTACCTGAACATAATTATTCTCACAGTAGTCCGCGACCCTCGTAAGGTTCTGATAACTCTCCACGAGAGCTCGTTTACCGGCTGGAATTTCTTCCTCTAGTAACATCTGCAGCTCTGCCATCTTACATGTCTCCACAGAGCTTCCTACTCGTCTCTGGGATTTGATTGAGAGCTCAAACTCAGCCCCAGTGATGTCGGAATCGTTCATTTGAGTCGAATCTTTGTAATGAATACATAGAACCGGTTCACAAAACCGGTCTGAACGATTCGTATGTGGGACTGAATCGGGTATAGCTGTCCGCGAGTTAACGACTCACTGAATCATTGAACCGAGACATCCGCGACTCGCATTGAGCCGGATTATCTACGTAGGACCGTAGTACAAGTTTTTGGAGTGAACCTAGTAGCATGTGTTGACAGTTTCATTAACATGCATACGAAAAAGAGTTGTTTATAATAAAAATAGCCTAATATCAAAAGCTGCAAAACCGTGAGATGTACATTAATATTAGTAGCTAAATATTGTAGATTCTTGTGAGAGTTGAAACAAAGAGTTAAATGGTAACTATACAACCGTTTTACCTCTAACTTAATCGAGAAAATACCAATAAACAAACAATGTGTGGCTTCCTTTGAATATTTAATGCAACCCCAGGATGCCAGGGACGTACGATGACGTCATTACGTACTGACGCAAAGGATTCAGAGAATTGTTTATTTTAAACGGTTCGTTGAAAGAACTGTTCAAAAGAACCGATTCTGGGAAATGAGCCCATCGCCTCCCTTTCGCAACAGCGTCACCTATCAGCGCAGCTGATACATTGTTGCGGAGTGAATGGAACGTTGGGAGTTGTAGTGTTATAATACATCCAGTAACGAGGGACGGAACACTTTGTTGTGTTCCATTAAGTGTCACAGTGTTGCCTCTTCGTCTATTGCACAGGAAATTATTAAGCGCATATGTTTCTTTAGACATATGCGTCAAAATATTACTAGGCACATTCAAAGTTCGCAGCCAGAGACGGTTTTTATGGCATAAACTCCCTTGGGTAAGAAACTACATTACCCGGAATGTTACGCGTGTAGATAAAGAATTATGGTATTTGTAGGATTTAAATGCCATTGTTGCAAGACTTAACGGCAGTGACGTTCTCTAAAGAAACTACAATTCCCAGGAAACACCTGAAGTAGGCTTCCATACGGTTTCTGTCAGGTACGTATTCATGAGGTCGTAGTCTCCAGCACAGCAGGTAGAGCAGCAAATGGTCGTGCTTGCTTTAACGTCGTTTCTAATGCAAGTCAATCCAGAAATATCACATTAAATAGTATGCGCTGCACTTTCAGTCATGTCTTGCTTGTCCTTCAGGATTTGTAAAGAAAAAATGGGATTGTTTTTGGTTTTGTTTAATTCTTTTGGAACAATAAACAGTCTCATTAACGTGTAACGTGCAGTTTAGGTTTACTGTAATTGCGACAGATGCAAGGAACATTATGAATGATATAAATCGATTAATAGAAATGTAACTTTGCTGGTAGGTTTGATCTCGATCTTGCTGTAGCGGTTAGATTGTCATGATGGAGGGTGACAACAAACCAGTCTACGAGCAGAGGTTCAGTGCTGCTGTCAGAGTGATACAGAATTTACCTTCAAACGGTGAGTAAATATGTAACAGTCATTTAGTAAACACTGTGTATTGTGTGTTATATTGCACAGCAGTGCACGCCACCCCTCACCTACTTTCTCATGATCCCTGCCGTTTCATAATCAAATAACAGATTATCACGGGTTTCCACGGGCAACGCGATTAGCCTACATTCAGCCGAGTTTAAGTGCTGAAATAGCTCGTGTGCCACTAGCCCTGATCAGAGACTGTGTGTGTGTGTGTGTCTGGTGGGATTGGTGATAGAGCATCATGTGATTTATCATATATGACAACATGCAAGATATATTAAAGACATGCTAACGGAATTTCTGTGTAGAGGGATAGTTCGTAGACAGACGAGGCTGCATGCTTAGGATCATTTGCAGTTCCCTTTTTCTCCACACTTTTGCTTTCCCATCACTTAGATAAAGGTTAAACTTTGTCTCATCTGTCCATAAAACTCCATTCCAAAACTCCGTTCTACAGGGTCATCTTTGTGCGCAAACTCTAATCTCGCCTTTCAATTTTTGGTGCTTGTCAAAGGTTTGCATCTTGCTGTGTAGCCTCTGTATTTTAGGGTTCATTTTCACAGCTTTTATGATTTGTCTGTCATCAACTACTGTTGTTTTTCTCAGCCGATCAGGTCGTTGTTGGTTGCTGATGTCGCCGGTGGTTTCCAAACTCTTGATTTCTCCATGCCCTTTGTTTTTGCTATAGCTCTAATTGACTTCCTCTTTTCTTTTAGCAGCCAAACTGCTTGCTTTTCTCTCAAAGTCAGCTCTCTCGTCTTCATCCTGGTTTGTGTGTGTCGTCATCGAATGCAAGACTCAGAATGCAGAAGCAATTGATATAACTGATACGACACATTCCCTGCTTTTAATATCTGAAGAATTAATGCAACAGGTCACAGCTGATCACTTAGAAAGAGCTGCGAGGCAACTGTTCCAATACTTATGCTCACATTAGATAGTGGGATGAACTCTAAAAGTGCTGATCTTCTTAGCTGGTAAAACATTTATGTGTTGAATTACCCAACAATAAAATGTGACACTCTGTAGTTTTGTCTCCTATTCATCTTTCAATCATATTTATGGATTGCTTGACTCCACAGCAAACAGAGCAATTTTGTCTTTACTGTCCCACAGAAAAAAAAGAACACAAAGGCTCGTCTCACATTTACCAAAAAATATCTTGCAAAGGGTGGCACAACCAGTTATTAGATTTAGGGGGCAATTACTTTTTCATGTAGTGCCAGGCCGGTTTGGACAGCTTTTATCCCTTAAATGGAATCATTATTTCAAAACTGCATTTTGTATTTACTCGGGTTATCTTTGTGTAATATTAAAATTTGCTTAATGATCTGAATCTTTTAAGTGACAAATATGCGAAAAAATTAAAAACAGGAAGGGGGCAAAAACCTTTTCACGGCACTATATATATAAAACACACACTAATACATATTGTATGTACATGTACATATATTTGCATTACATTTACATTTAGTCATTTAGCAGACACTTTTATCCAAAGCGACTTACAAATTAGGACAATAGAAGCA